GTTCTACGACCAGGCCCTGCAGCAGGCTGTGGTGGATGATGATGCCAATAATGCCAAGGCTGTGGTGAAGACTTTCCACGAGACGGTGCGGCTGGGCTGGGGGCTGCGGTTGGGGGTGCGGCCCCGGGCTCAGGCTGGGATTGGGGGTGTGGTCAGGCTGCAGTCCCTGAGGGGCGGGGGTTGGGGCATCACCTTTGTGGACAAGGCTTCTGCAGAGCAGTCCTCAGGAATAGAAGGGGACCTGGCCAGGTGATCTGGGTGACTCAGCTCCCCGGCTAGGGGCTCAGCAGGTGTCCCAGCAGCCTTGCCAGGCAGGGGGAGGAAGGGGGCTCCAGTCCATTTGGGGAGGCACTGTGGTATGTGTCCTCCACTTCTATCCTGTCCTCTGGAGCTCGGGCTATTCTTGCTATGTGCCAAGAGCTCACTTGCAGCTTCCTTTGATCTCCACAGCTCAACTGCTGTGGCTCAAGTACACTGACCACACTGACCACTTCGGTGCTGAGGAACAACCTGTGTCCCACGGGCAACAACTTCTTCACCAACATCATGGAGGTGCCTAGGGCCCAGTGGGGCGGGCAGCACTGGGCTGTGACAGGGCTGCTGTGCCCAGGGGGGCTGGGTGAGCAAAGCAGGGCCCACACCGCGAGTAGGGTGGCATCTCAGGTGGACTTTGGACTCGTTCCTGACTGCTGTGATGTTGGGGGCAGTCGCTCTTTGTGTCTGTCACACCAGCAACTCTAGGATGTACTGATGCCAGTGGTGGCCCAGGCTGCATATCTGGGACTCAGGTTTATTTATAAACGGGTAGAAGATAAGCCCTGGGCAGGGCCCAGCTGCTGCGGGCCCTGAAGCTGACCCAAGGGTTCCCCCTCCCCTGCCACCTACCCACCCACCCCCAGGGCGACTGCCACCGCAAGATTGACGAGCTCTTCTCGGGAAAGCTGTACCTCATCGGCATTGCCGCCATCGTTGTTGCTGTCATCATGGTAAGCTTGAGGTGCCCTGCCCCCAGGGGTTGCTCCTCCTCAGACCTGGAGTGCTGACCTCTGCTGCCTGCTCCCCACAGATCTTCGAGATGATCCTGAGCATGGTGCTGTGCTGTGGCATCCGGAATAGCTCTGTGTACTGAGACCCTGCGTGTCCGGTCACAGGGACCCTTGCAGTGCCACCAGAGTGACCGGAGGCTGCCTCGGCCATCACCACCTGTGTATATAACGTATCCGGTATTACTCTGCTACACTTAGCCTTCTCACTTTTGAGGTTTTGTTTTGTTCTGAACTCTCCTGTTAACTTTGGGGCTGACGTCACATGTAGGTGGCTGTGAGGGTAGAGCTAACCGGGGCCTTGGAGACTCTGCTTCAGGGCTCCTGGGGGCTCTGCCTGCTGAGCTAGGCCTATCAAGGCTGCTTGCCCAGAGGCTCCTGTGGCTGAGCTGGGGGCTGTGTGCACCCAATCTGCCCTTCCTGTGGGCTGCACAGCTCCCATCTTTTTAATCCTTGTCCCTTCCCCCCCCCCCCCCCCCCCATTTCGGAGCTGGGTCTGTGAGCACTCTTACATGCCTTCAATGTACTTGTCCTTTCTAACGCCTCACCTGCAACTGTAATTACATCTGAAAACAGTCACTTAATAAAGAAGGAAAAATCAGGCATGCTACTGGGACCACGTAAGACCTCTTCCTGTACCAGTGTCATCCAGGATCTTGAGGGAGCCCGGTGTGGGCATGGCTCAGCTTGGACTTTTGTCCAAGCAGAGCTGGCCCGGAGGGCCTGTGGGCCACAGTGACAGCTGGATCCCAGGGGAGCAGATGGTGACTGTCGTGTGCCGGTGTCCGGTTCGAAGTCCCTGCCCCGGTGTAAAAGCCTCATTCTCACTTCAGCTACTGGGATACACTGCTCGGAGACGGGCGGGGCGGCCAGGGAGCGCGGGGCGGGTCGCTGCGAGACCCCGCCTTCCTCCGGAGCCGAGGGACGGCGGCCCTGCCCCGCTAGAGGCGGCGACTCCAGGACTGGGAGGCCGGAGGGGGGCCGCAGTGCACCCCGAGGTTGCGCGCCCCGGACTCCGCACTTCCGCTCGGCCACGGAGCGGCGGGGCCTCGCCAGGGCGGGAGGGGGGGGTGGCTCGCGGGCCCGGCCGCCCCGCGGGCCCGGCCGCCGGCTCCGCCCCGCTCCGGCCGGGCCCGCCCTCCCCGCGCGCGCCTGGCTCTGTGGCCGCGGGCCGGGCCGGGCCGGGCCTCCGCTTCGGGGAGCTGCGGGCCACCTGCCGGGACGCCGTAACGGAGCGAGCGTGCCGGCTTCCGGCCGGGACCGGAAGTGCCAGGGACGTTCGCGCCCCGCCTGCGCGATGACGCGCTTCCTGCCCGTGGTGACGCTATCACGCGACTTCCGGCAGGCGGCGCTAGAGCCCCACAAGCCCGCGCCGCTGACGCCCTGGAGCTTTGTGGGAGAGCACCGTCCTGGTCCCGCCCCTTCCTCCAGTCCTACGTCAATTCCGGGCGCCCGGGGCGACAACGTTAGGCCGCGTGAGGCGGGCGCGCGCGTCGCGTGTCCCAGAATGCCTCGGGAGGCCTCTCGGCGCCTGATGGGAGGTGTAGTTTCTCGGGCGCCGGGGCCTCCGCGTGGGGCGCTCCGGGAACTCGGTTTCCCAGAGGGCCGAACGCGGGTGGGCGGGGGCCGCGGGGGGCGGCCGGGCCCGGCCCGGGGCGCCGGGCGGAGGAGGCGGGACCCCCGCGCGCGCCGCCGCGCGCTCACGCTGCCTTCTCTCGCCTCAGCGGCCCCGCGCGCCCGCCCCGCCCCGCCCGCCCCGCACGCCCCGCACGCCCCGCACGCCCCGCACGCCCCGCCCGCCCCGCACGCCGCCCGCCCCGCACGCCGCTCTTCCCCGCGCGCCGCCCGCCCCGCACGCCGCTCTTCCCCGCGCACCCCGGGCCGCCGCGCCCGCGGCCTCATGGCCGGCGCCTCCCCGGGCGAGGCCTCCCCGGGCCCGGACGACGACGCCCTGCCTTCGGACTCCGTGTCCCTCAGCGACTCGGACTCCGACGTCAGCCTTGTGGGAGACGCGGAGGTGGCCGCGCTGTCCCCGGAGGGCCCTCCCGGGGAGGCCCAGGAGGACTCGGGCACCGAAGAGCCCGCGGAGCCTCCGTCGCCCCCCGCGCCCGTGCGGCCCTTCCACCTGCGCGGCATGAGCTCCGGCTTCTCCGAGCGCAGCCACAGCATCTTCGACGGCCTGGAGGGGGCCGCCCGCGGGGCGCCTCCCCCCGCTCCCCAGACCAGCGCGGACCCCAGTGTGGACTTCAAGCAGCCCCTGGCGCCCCCCGGCCAGCCTCCGGCGAGGCCTCTCAGCAGAGGCCACGGGAGCCCCGGCGCCCCGAGGGCGCCCCCTATCCCGGACTATGTGGCACACCCCGAGCGCTGGACCAAGTACAGCCTGGAAGATGTGGCTGAGACGAGTGAGCTGGGCAATCGGACTGCCGCCCTGGCCTTCCTGGGCGCCCGGACCCAGGCGGCCCCCACAGACTTCCTGCCCTCCTTCAACCAGGACCCCTCCAGCAGCGGAGAGGGCAGGGTGGTCTTCACCAAGCCGGTTCGAGCCGAGAGGAAGAGGGTCCTGAGGAAGGAGGGCGTGCTGGGTGCGGGCAGCGAGGGTCCTGTGGAACTGGCCCACCTGGCAGAGCCCGGGCCTGAGGCCGAAGAGTGGACCAGCACCCAAGGGCTGCCAGAGGTAGGGGTGGCACCGGGGGATGCCCACGCGGGGTCCTCACCAGGCCCTCCCGGGGTGGCAGCTGTTGGCTTCCATGGCAGCAAGAAGCGGAGCCGGGAGCACTTCCGGAACAGGTGTGGAAGCCCTGAGGGCACAGGGGCTGGGGTGTGAGCCCGGCAGCGAGCCTGGCCACACTGCCGTCACCTGTGCTACCAGGTGCTGGCATGGCTGTGTGCACAGCCACCGCCACCGTGGGAGGGAGATCACCTCCTCAGGAAGGAGCGGGTAAGCTGTCGATAGGGGGCATCAGGCACCAGCAGTCCTGGTGAGGGCTCTGGGCCTGAAGTCGCTGAAGCCCTGCTGCTCCCTAGTGTCCCTGTCTGGGGTCAATAAAAGCTTTGGGTCTTTCTCAGGTTTTGTGTGTGGGTCTGTTTACCCTGGGGACTCTGTCTGCAGCCATCTTCCACAGGCGGTGCCTGCCTTATCCAGGCTCACTCATGACTCCGTCCCCACGTATAGCCCCTCACTGATGGGTCTGTGGGGACTGGCCTGTAGTTACACGGCTCCCAGTTTTGCCCTGTGTCCCTGGCGTCCTACCTGACCCCATTAGCCTTGGCTCCTGCAGACCCAGGCCTCAAAGGGAGGCTGGGCACATGGGGAGTCCTAGGGGTACATTACAGTACTTGGCCTGTGCACGGGGTGCTGCCGGTGCCATGGGCTGACAAGCTAGGACGTGGGGATTCAGGTTGGTAATCCTGGTGTGCAGGAAAGAAGACAGTACATGACGTGTGACTCACAACTGGGCCAGGTCTGCAGCCCTGGAAAAAGCAGGACCCATCTGGCTGGACCGTGAGCTTGGTGGGTAGTGAGCCCAGCAAGTGTGGCCCCTAATGTGCTAGGTCAGCAGCTGTCAGGGTCAGTGTGGTGTGGAAAACAAAGTGGAGCGCCAGTGCACACTGAGGCAAGGATGGAAGCTAATAGGCAGGGTGGACCCCTGGCCCTCCCTGTGGGAGCAGAGCTGGCCAGCTGGCTCGTGAGCGGCAAAAAGAACAAACCAGAACCACTAGAGTTTGAAACAATGGTGTCTTATGGGGCAGAGAGTGGAGCAGGCTCCCAAGCAGCCTCAGTCTGAACAGGAGCCGCCCTCTTCACCTTCCTGTCCAGTCCCACTTCAGGCTCGGCTCCAGATGGGGTCCGCCTGCCTGGGGAGCTGCCCCAACAGCACCGTGCTCCCCAGGCACAGGAGGGAGCCGGGAGAGGTGGGGGCCCAGGGGGAGGCCAGTGTGTCCCCAGAACAGCCAGTGTCAGTCATGCTGCGTCTGGCCCACCTCCGGGTGCTCCCTGCCTCCAGGACTCAGTCCTTGGCTAGCAGACGTCTGCAGGCTCCCACTACCTGGGCCTGTGGGAAGGAAGGGCTCCTCAGCTCCTCAGTGCCAGCCCCCTGGGGCCAAGGTGCAGTCCAGCAGGGCCAGGACCAGGTAGAGCCTCGGGAGTGGAAGGACACCAAGGCCTGGCCCCAGCTGGGCACCGGCACGCACCTTGGCAGGAGGCAGGGGCCAGCAGCGGGCACTTGGATCTGGCTTTCTGCCACAGACCAGTAGCCAGGGATAGAGGCCCCTGCCCCACAGATACTTACTCCAGTGGGCGCCGCCCTGGGCCAGCTTGTCCGCCATGGAAGACAGGAGCAGTGTGCAGTAATTGGCCTACAGGGGTCAGAGGAATGCTGTGGCCATGAGCCCCTCCCGTGGGATTCTCACCTACCCTCCTGCCTCGGCCCCCCTCCCTCTAGGCAGGTTTCCATGTGGTGGGTAAAAGTCTGTATGAGCGTCCTTGCTGGGAGGGCTTGCCCACAGGCACTGGCCCCTGCATCCCCTGGCCCTGTCCATGGCCCTCGGTGGCCGGCCAGCCCTTTGGTGTGGCTGGTGAGCATGGCACCATCAGGCCCTGTATCCCTGCAGGATGGCCTAGCTCAGGGAATCACCAACTTGCCTGTGACTCCAGAGATTGGATGCGCTTTTCTTGCTCTCTCAGCCCTCCAAGGTACTTGGCAACCAAGTCCACTCTGCGGAGAAACAGGGGGGAACCAGGGGGCTGGGCAGCCGTCTCCCCACGGGGTGCCACCCTCCCCCGCTGGCCCAGGCCTCTGGTCTCCACGTGCGCTGCTCGTATCCGCTTCCCCTGTTATCATGTGTGCCTGATTGAGGGCTGATGGCACCCAGGACTCAACGCAGCTGGTGTGAGGCTATAGACTAGCTTCGAGGGGGCTCATGCCTGCCTGGGGCACGCCACCCGAGGGGAGGGGGCACAGGCAGATGGGCCCCTGGAAGGAGGTCTGGGAGTGGGCGTCTTGGCATGTGGAGAGAAAGGAGGAGCCCATAGCCGGCAGAGTGCATGCTGCGTATCCCCAGCTTCGGGGCAGGTGAGGCCTTGGCCGAGCCTCACCCAAGAAGAGCCTGGGCTACTGGGCACGGTGGCCCAGCCATGGTGCGGCTCCACCCCTCGTTCAGCTTCAGTTTCCGCAGCTTGGACCCCTTCCTTGCCTGGCAGCTTGCCCTCCCCAACCTGTAAAAAGCGTTGGTGGTCCCTCCCAGCACCCTGCACCCCAAGACCAGCCAGCCCCATGGCTGCAGAGGAGCCAGGTTTACGCCGGCGCCCACCGCCTCCGCAGCATGGCTAATTCCGCATTTCTGGGCAGACCCATGTGCAGGGCCAGGCTGCCACACATCCAGGTGTGAGCCCCAAACACCTGCTCTCCACGCACAGGCGCACAGGCCTCCCTGGGGTACCTGCGGGCCGTCTTCCGGAGCAGCTCCCCCTCGCTGTCCCTCCTCCTTGTCTCCACCTTGCTCAGGAAGTTCTCCTTCTGAACTGCCTCCCAGGTAACAATCTTCTGGTCCAGGGGGTCAGGCAAGTCTCTCTCTGGGAGGGCAGGGGACAGAGGCAAGCCTCACTAGCGCTCACTGGGCCTGGGGTGTGGAAGCCAGGGCATAGCAGATAGGCATTGGCAGGGCTGCATGCAGGGGCCTCAGCAAGGACACACACTCCACCTGTGCCTGTCCGTTCTGGGCCTGGGTATTGGGCAGCCTGGCGGCCTCACCTAGGTGTTCCCGCTTGTGCTGGGCAGCCTTCCTGAAGACTCGCTTGAGCACCAGGCTCAAGTGGCTGAGGAGGATGAAGGGCGGGGCCAGGGCCGGGCGCCCATGGTACTCCACAATGAGATGGTAGCGCTGGAATTTCCAGAACATGTCCGCGTTGCCCTGCACCACCTGGAATGTGTAGCTGCGGGGTGTGCAACCAGGGTCACATCCCGCCGGCCTGCACCCCTGCAGCTGAGCCAGGGCCAGCCCGACCTGGGCAGTGGGAGCTGGGATTCCCAGGTGTGGATGCAGAAAGAGCCGGGGGGGGGGGGGGGGGGCAGGGCATGGTACCTGAACATGGCGATCAGCAGGTTCATGAGCAGCACGTTGGTGACCAGGAGGAAGGTGACGAGCAGTAGGATGACCAGCCAGTTTGCGTAGAGGTTGGGGCAGGAGGGCGAGTCTTCCTGCAGCAGGGGGTGGACTGAGCAGTTCACCCGGGCCTCTGAAAGGTGGTCAGGCGGGGAAGCCTGGCTCAGGCGGAGGCCTCCAGGGCACAGGTGCCGCACGCACCCCTCCTACACCCCAGTTTGCACTCCATCCTCTGAGTGCCGCAGCCACCTTGAAGCCCTAGCCCAGAAACCCAGAGGCAGCCCTGCGCCGGCCGGCATCTCCCATCTCTGCTGGACTTCCACCAGGGGTCTGGGGTCGTCCGTGAGGGAGGAAGGTAGGGATGGGAAGATCTGCTGTCGTTACAGGAATGAATTTCTCTACATTCCCTGCAGGCGTGGCTACAGCTTGTCCCCCCAGCCCAAGCTGGGGCGGGTCTGCAGTTTCCCAGGGCCCACAGTGGGCACCAAAGCCTGTGCGAAGTCACGGTGGCTTGAAGATACATCCTTTGGCAATGCAGCGTGGCCACCGGCAGGCTAGGCTCCGGCGTGCCCAAGGGGCCAGCCCACCACTCGGGGCCAGCCCTGCACCTATCTTCTCTGCACGGCTCACCCCTGGGCCTCACCCAACCCCAGATCTTAGGTCAGCTGGAAGGAGGAGCAGATGGAAGTCAGGTAAGCGCCCAGCCCCCATAGCGTGTCCCCACTCCCCCTGGAGGCCTGGTCTCACTCTCAGTCATCTGCTAACAACTGGGTTTTGATTTTTTTTTGCCGGCTATGGGGCTTGAACTCTGGGCCTGGGTGCTGTGCCTTTGCTCTTTAGCACAATGTTAGCCCTCTACCACTTGAGTGCCACTTCCAGTTTTCTGGTTGTTTATTGGAGATAAGAGTCTCACGGACTTTCCTGCCCAGGCTGGCTTTGAACTGCGATCCTCAGATCTCAGCCTCCTGAGTAGCAAGGATGACAGGCGTGAGCACTGGCACCCAGCTCTGCTGATAAATACTTATCACCTCTCCCTGACTGGCCTGGCCTCAGTAATGGCCGGGCTCAGGCCCCAATGGTCCATAATCCAGGGTGGTCCAATCCCTGGCCCCAGACCAAGAAAGTGACCCCTGTGCATACACCCCGCACCCCATCCCCTCAGGGCACCCCAGGAATTTGTATGGCACCATCTTGCCTGAAGAGCTGGGACTCTGGACATGGAAGGAACCCCAGCCACCCAGGGACCTGCACAGGACCCTGGCCGGCCGCAGGGGCCCCTCCCTGCACCCCTGTTCCCCATGAGGAAGCTCCCAGAGTCTACCAGCCCCTGCCAGGTACAGGATCCAGCTGAAGGACACCCCTGTCACTTGGGCTGTAGCCCTCCCCCTGGACACACACGCTGGGGTGGCCACCCGCAGAAGCCAAGGTGTGATCAAGAGTGGCGTCGAGCCCGACACCAGTGGCCCAGGCCTGAAATCCTAACCGCTCAGTGGGCTGAGATCTGAGGGTCAAGGTTCAAGGCCAGCCTGGGCAGGAAAGCCCATGAGACTGATTCATCTCCAATTAGCTAGAAAAGAAAGCCAGACGTGGAGCTGTGGCTCAAGTGCCAGGCTTGAATGAAAAAGCTAGGGGACAGTGTCCAGGCCCTGAATTCAAACCTCAGTACCAGCGTGTGTGTGTGGGTGTCTGTGTGTCTGTGTGTGCGCGCACGCGTGTGGCCTCTGGCAGGTGACAGGTAGCCTTTACCTGCAGGGTTGGTCTTATCACCAAACACCCCTCCACATTCCTGCCCATCCCACTGCCCCTCACAGACCACTCAAGGCTGGGCTGGCCCCATGGCCTTCCTAGGCAGGGTCCCTCCGTCCGCAGCCAGAGCGAGGCTGGGGGCTCAGTGTGGGGAGCAGATTCCAGCCCCCTCTCCCGATAAGGGCCTGACTGCAGGTGTGTGTGGCGGGGCCCTCCGGGGACGCACACACCCCGGGGCGGTAACGGGGACTCGGCCGGCCCGCACCGGGCACACACCGTCAATTTCGTCTAGCGGGATCTGCCCGAAGATCTGCAGGTAGGGCCGGTAGAGCACACGGCGGAAGATCCACTCGGGACGGCCGTCCTGGGGGTGCAGCAGCGCCTGGGTGGTGACGCCGTAGGCCACGAGCCACACGCTCAGGAAGAAGAGGAAGAAGAAGACGTCCTTCATCTGCAGGAGAGGGGTCAGCAGTGCCTCGGCAGGGAGAGCCCAGCACCCAGCGTGGGGTGGGGCGGAGGGTCACACCTGCCTGGAGCCCGGGGCTCACCATGCGCTCAACAATGATGATCTTGGGACCCAGCTGCTTGTGAATGGCGAAGATGTGGATGAGCCGAAGCGTGAAGACCATGAAATCAATGGCGAGGACCGTGCGGCCGGCCTCGAACACCGAGGGCAGCATCCTGCAGGGGGGTCAAAGGCACGTGCCGAGGGCACACCGGGATCTCGGTGGCCCCAGGAGCTGTGGGGTCTCCCGCACCAGACCTGCAGGTGACGCCAACGATGAACAGGAAGATGGCCACCATGTCACACTTGTTCCAGTTGTCCTCCATGTACAGAGTGAACTTCTTCACCAAGTGTGTGTCCTCGTCTGTGAAGAAACCCTGACCCGGGGGACAGGCTGTCACGGCTGCCCGGGCCCACCTGGCAGAGTGAGCCCGTCCCTGACCCGGGGGACAGGCTGTGACGGCTGCCCGGGCCCACCTGGCAGAGTGAGCCCGTCCCTGACCCGGGGGACAGGCTGTCACGGCTGCCCGGGCCCACCTGGCAGAGTGAGCCCGTCCCTGACCCGGGGGACAGGCTGTCACGGCTGCCTGGGCCCACCTGGCAGAGTGAGCCCGTCCCTGACCCGGGGGACAGGCTGTGACAGCTGCCCGGGTCCACCTGGCAGAGTGAGCCCGTCCCTGACCCGGGGGACAGGCTGTGACGGCTGCCCGGGCCCACCTGGCAGAGTGAGCCCGTCCCTGACCCGGGGGACAGGCTGTCACAGCTGCCTGGGCCCACCAGTGGCGTCTGTGAAGATCAATTCACCATTGCAAACAAGGCTCCCCCTTGGCCAGCACCGGGGCTGACTGAAACTATCTAAGGTTGCAGGCTGGCGTGCGCTGGGTACAGGTGCTCATGCCTGTCATCCCAGCTACTCAGAGCTGAAATCTGAGGATCCCAGGGTGGAGCCAGCCTGGGCAGACAGACCCCAAACCTGAGAGACTCTTACCTCCAATTATCCAGCAAGCAGCTAGAAGTGGAGCTGTGGCTCAAGTGGTAGAACAACTAGCCTTGAGCAAGAAAGCTTGGGGACCGCACCCAGGCCCTGAGTTCAAGCCCCATGACGGATATAAGTGAATAAAAGCGTGTTTTAAAGAGCAGAAGTGTGGCTCAGGTAGCTAGAACATTTACCTAGCATGTTCCAGGCCCTGAGTTCAAGCCTTATTACTGAAGGTACAAAACAAAGCAGACAGAAACAGTGAAGGTCAGTCTGGACCTGGGACCTGCCTAGGCTCAGATAATGATTCCTCCCTGTGAGACTCAGTTGGAGTTCTGACGAGGCCTTTCACTGAGCTCTTCAGCTCAAAGCGAGCACTCTACCACTTGAGCCACAGTGCCACTTCCAGTGTTCTGGGGGTTCACTGGAGATAAGAGTCTTCCGGGCTGGCTTTGAACTGTGATCCTCAGATCTCAGCCTCCTGAGTAGCTGGGATGACAGGCGTGAGCCACAGGCACCGGAGCCCACTTTGCCACCCCAGGCAGGACCCCAAGCCGCAGAGCCCCAGGCCTGGCCGCCCTGGCCTCACCTGCCGGGTCTCCTCCAGCACCAGCGTGAAGACCCAGAAGTAGAGGATGACCTCGGCCCCCGCCGGCCCCCGCAGTGCCGGCCTGAAGTCCACCAGCAGGACGTAGGCGAACAGGAAGAGGAAGGTGAAGTACATGACCACGTTCCCCAGGAACACGGTCACCGGGGCGCCCCAGAACTTCCGCCAGCGCGTGAGTAGGAACGCAGCTTGCGGGCCCTGGTCGCCAGGAGGGCGGGGCACCTCCTCCATCACCCTGAGCCGGGGCAAAGACACCACAGCCGTGAGGGGCTGAGGCAGGCTCCTCACTTCCGCCTCCACCCACCGCCCTCTGCCCTGGCCGCCTGCACCGTACAGCAGGGTCTTCTCCGCGTCCAGGCTGTCCAGCTCCTGTAGGCCCTCCGTGGGTGGGACATCCTCGCTGAGACACAGGGACACCCAGGCGTGAGGACAGCGCTAACAGCCCCTGGACCTTGGGCTAGGAGAGTCAGGCCGCCGCGTGGGCCCTGCCGCCGCCGCGTGGGCCCTGCCGCCGCCCCCCCGGCCCACCTGAAGGCGATGAGGTTGGTGTAGATGAGGGCGGGGCAGGTGAAGGCGCCCAGCAGCCGCAGGATGGGTGTCCCTGTGGCCATGTGTCCCCACCAGATCTTGGTCAGGAAAGCCTGGAAGAAAGGCACGCATGCCTGCAACTCTCCCCCTGCAGCTCTGTTCACGCTGCACCGGGGGGGGGGGCCCGGAGGAGGACAGGGGCATGGGTTCACTGCTGCTGGGAGTTGTGCCCATGTGTGCATACACGGGTGTGCCCTGGGGCTTGGAGTGCACTGCTTCTGGGAGCCATGTGTGTGTACGTGTAATGTATGTCCACACATGTACATGTGTGTGCTCGGGCTGGTTTTCTGCCCAGGCTGGCTTTGAACCTCAATCCCCAGGTAGCCTCCTGAGTAGCTAGGATTGATTACAGGCCTGAGCACTGGTGCCCAGCCTTTGTGAACTTTCAGTGAAGGGCGGTGAAGGCGATAGCTCCGAGACAGGTTAGAAAAGTTTGCCCAGCAGAGGGCGTAGGAGGGCTGTGCCTCCTTCTGAGCGAGGAGCTACAGCTGACAGGCTTCTCCGTGCCAGAGATAGCTCTGCCCGCTGCCCACCTTCTGTGTGCCAGGGACAGCCAGGGCTGGGTCCGCCGAGGCCCGTGGCTGCTCACCTGTACGCCGTCATGGGCAAAGAAGGCCTTGGTGTCGGCCTCGGTGGCCAGGTGCAGGCAGGTGGTGCGGCTCCAGCTATGGTTCCGGCGCACCAGCAGGGCGAAGGCCCGTTCCTCGCTGTTGCTGTAACACTCTGAGAAGAGGTCTGCGGGGCCCGCGTGGTGCTGATGCCTGCCCACAGTCCCCGCTTCTGCCCACACCCTGCCCGGGGGGGGGGTGCACCCGCCTCCGCCCCTCAGCGCCCATCCTGCTCGGGCGCAGACCGCCTGGACACCAGGGGCCCTCCTGAACCTCTGCCTCCCTCTGTGTGCTGGGGCTGAGCGTGGCTGTCGGAGCAGCGCCCTCCTCCCAGCGCCGTCCCCGCGTGGGGCTGCGGGGCTCCCCCATCCTGTTCCCCAGAGGAGCCCCACGCCGCCCTCCTCCTGCACCGCCCTCCTCCTGCTGCTCACCCAGGGCCAGCTGCTCGTACTGGGCCTCACGCATGGCGCGGGCTGCCTCGGCCTCCGTCTCCAGGTGGGACATCGCCTTGATGATCTTGCAGGCAGCCAGAGCCGCGGCCACGCCCTCCTGGCCCTGGAAGAGAGGGCCTCAGGAGACGCTCCCCCATCCCCGGCCTCCACAGGCCTACGGGCACACACTCACCATGGCCCAGAAATAGGTGGCCATCTCATGGCGGCTCTGCAGAACCGCCCACAGGAACAGGTCCCTCCAGGGGTCCTCGCTCTTCTGTGTGAGGTCCAGCGGCCACTTGTGGCCTGTGGGACGCTTGGCCGGCCCCCTCTCCTGAGGAGTGGACATGGCCATCAGCCCCAGCCTGGCCCCAGCCCCGACCCCTGCCCTGCTCGTGGCGCCGGCCCCAGGCCCCGCTCACGGCCGGCCTCCGCATGTCCTGGTAGAGGCCCCGGCAGGCGTCCTGCAGGAAGTCCTTGAGCAGCCGGGACACGTCCTGCAAGGAGAAGGCGGGCAGCCCCGAGGGCGGCTCCCGGGCCTGCTGGGCACTCAGGCCCGCCAGCGTCAGCCGCCCCTCCTCGTGCTTGTGCTGCAGCAGGCTGAAGAGCAGACTTTTGGGGGACACGGAGCGGTAGAGCTGCTGCAGCCGCCCATAGGTCAGGAAGTCGGCCATGTTGGCACCACTGTCCACGAAGAGGCGCACGAACTCTGGTTTGTTGCTGACCAGGGCATCCATCATCACCTCCTCCAGGTCTTGGGACTGGAGACGGAGATGGGGACGGTGAGTGGGTGGGCAGCAGGGCTGGGTGGTGGGCAGCCTCTCCTTGGAACATCCCAGCTTCCCCCCGAGCTGGTTTGCAGGCAGGTCAGACAGAGCGTGCTAGGAAGATACCACATGGTGGCCAACCCTGAGCCCTGCCCCTGGGCTTTGGACTGGCCAGCACTCCAGAATAACCAGCCTGTCCTTCAGGATGCCCTGGCCACATCTTGGCCTCCACTCCCACCTGGCTGGGCCACAGGGAGCCTGGCCAGCAGGACTGGACTTTGGCTTCCCGGGGCATCTGTATGGTCTGTGCCCTGTGTTGGCAGAGCCCGGCCTGGGAGCCCTCACCTTCCACTCTACATCCCCACTGAAGATTTCACTCTTGGCAATGTCCACGCGATCCCAGGCCACGGCCAGCTTGAGCTCATCCAGGTAGTCCTGGGCCTCTTGGCTGTGACTTTTGCAGGCTGTGGCAGAGCAGGGAGGGAGGGGTGAGGCCCTGCAGAGCCCTGAGCTCAGGACCGGATTCGCAAGGGGACTTGCGGGGCCGTGGCAGCTTCCGGGGAGGCAGCACTGCCCGGGGGAGGCCTGGGCACTCTGGGGGCCGCTGAGACGCCCTTGTCCCTGACCTCCAAGGGCACTGCACTGAACAGTGCCACGTTCCCAGGGCCCGGGCACCCCTGGGAAGGGCCCCTCAGGGGGGCCTCCTTGTCGTGGGAGAGCCTCCCACCTCCCAGATGCCCTGCCTGCAGGGGCCTCCGTCCAGGTGTGTCCCCAGCCCCCTAGTGCACTCATCTCCAATGGAAAACACGTGGAGTGAATCCTACAGCCACCCACGGTCGCGCTGAGGGGCTCACGATCACCCCTCTTGCGGGCAGAAACATTGTGGGATTGGTGACAGTCATACCACTGTGACCAGACTCAACCCAAGCAGGCTGGGAAGGTGGCTCAGCAGTAGAGTGCCTGCCTTGCATGCATGAGGCCCTGGATTCGATTCCTTAGCACTGCATAAGCAGATAAAGCCAGAAGTGGCGCTGTGGCTCAAGTGGTAGAGTGCTCACCTTGAGCTGAAGAGCTGAGGGACAGCACCCAGAATTCAAGCCCCACGGAGAAAAAAAAAACCCAAGCAAACACCTTACACACACACACACACACGCATACACTTCAAACTAAGGTAAACGTGTGTACATTGCAAAATTTGCCGCAGACAGAAGATGCACACCATCTTCCCCCACCGCTCCGGGACGGAGCTGGTGTCCGCCACCTCACCTTTCACCAGGGCCTTGAGGATGACCGTGTCCAGGCTCTCGGAGCCCTCCTGCTCGAAGTCGTACACGGTGAGCAGGTGGGGGTATGAGACGATGCTTTGCAGCTGGGGGCACCGGGAAGAGACTCTGAGGGCACCTGGTCCCCAGAGAGGCCAGGCCTGCTGGCTGCCCCGCCCCCCGGGGCCTGATCAGAACTCCCGGGCCATAGAGGGCCGGCTGCCCAGGGGCCTGCGCCCCAGTGGGACAGAGCCTAGGGCCTACAGGGTAGGAGGGCAGGGATGGCAGAGATAGTACCCACTGCCAGGATTATCCCCAAGGACCAGCCCCCTCCTCCCGGGAGGAGGCCCGCTTCCCCCCCCCTCCCCCCCGCCACAGTGCATACCAGCTTGGTCCAGTGCAGGATGGCTTCCCAGGAGAAGCACTCACTGGGAAACTTCTCCTGAAGCTGCTTCTCCACCAGCTGGGGCACCAGCAGGTGAGGTCGGTTCACCAGGGCCGCCAGCACGTCGGCGATGCCCCCGGAGCCCGCCAGGATCAGCCATGGGGCAGCGTGCTCCACAGCCCTGGACAGCCTCTGGGGTGGACGACAAGTGTGGGGGCCACCCGCTCCCCCTGCCCACCCCGGGGAGCCCCAGGCACCCTCCTGTCCCTCAGGAGGCCCTGGGCAGCCAGAGCCCACCCACCTCCCCTGCCCCTACCTCCAGGGTGCTGGGGTCGCCATTGACTAGGAGGCAAAGGACTGGGATCTCAATGCTGCCGGTGCCTATGGGAACGCAGCCTCTGAGCCACCGCCAGCTCTCGGGAAGAGCAGAGGGGGAGGCCCCTGGGCTGCCCGGATGCTGCATACATGCTGGTCAGTTTTCCTCCTCCCTCCCTCCCTCCTCCCTTCTTTCCTTCTCTTCCCTCCCTCCTCCCTTCTTTCCTTCCTGCCTTCCTTCTGGGGCTAGGGACCATCTCTCCACTTCTGGCTGTGTGTGTGTGTGTTTAAATTTTGTTGTCTTGAAAACTTGTTATAAAGGTGATGTACAGAGTGGTTACCGTTACACAAGTTGGGTAGAAAGTACATTTTTTTTTTTTTGGACAATGTCACCCTTGGTGTTTTAATTGGAGATAAGAGTCTCACAGACTTTCCTACCCAGGCAGGCTTTGAACCGTGATCCTCAGATCTCAGCCTCCTGAGCAGTTAGGATGACAGGTGTGAGCCACCGGCACCGGGCGACTGTTATCATTGTTAAAGCGGGCTCAGTTGGCCTCACCTGGCATCTGCATGTTTTGCCTGTTGGTTTTTTGTTCTTGGTGCATATTTGAAGCCCTCACGTATTTGTTTATAAACATGACTCACACGCTAGTGTTTCCCAGCGCACCCATCCTGCCAGCCCCGGTCAGCCGGCAATGCCCCCCCTGGCCGCAGCCCCGTGGCATGGCGGGAAATGGGCCTCTGGAATTTTCATGGGAAATTCTCCAGAAGAGCACCTGAGAGAACTAAATGGTCTCTCAGCTGCTGCCGTCCAGCGGGGTGGCTGCCTGGTCTGGATGGCTCTGCCACATTAGCTGACAGCCCAGATCTGAGGGCTCTGGCATGCTTGGGCCTCCTGCCCCAAGGCCCTGCCCTCCCTTCCTGTCTCTCCCGTCCCTCTTCCCTCCCTCCCTCCTTCTCTGATGCTGCATGCCCAGTCTAGAGTCCCCAGGTGGCCTCCCGAGGGCTGGGGTGGGCCTCACCCCCATAGCCCGTCCTCTGCTGGGAGATGTGCTTCTCCAGCCGCAGCCGCAGCCCCACCAGCCCATCATCCCCCGTCTCGGGGGCGGCCGGCTCCACCAGGATGAAGTGGGAAAGGTTGCTGTCCAGGGGGCAGAGGGGGCCGTGGCTGACGCCATCATCCGCGGGGTAGTGGACAGGAGTGTCCTCCTGCACAGGGAAAAGATGGGAAGCGTGGCAGAGGTCTCAGGACTCGGGGAGGGGGGGGGTCTCTGAGCAAGGCTTCGGCGTGGCCTTGGTCTCCCCACCCATCAGGCAGGGGCAGGCCGGGCTCCAGGGCCTCCTTTCGCCGACAAAACCTTATGGGTGGCAGGGCCAGGGAAGCCCCTACTTCTAGACTCTTCTGGGCTAGAGTCCAGATCTAACCTCCCTGGGGGCTGCCTGGTCCTCTCGTTCACGCCTTACACAGACCCCAGCTGGAGGACAGGAAGGAGAACCAGAGAACAGAAGAGCTCTGCCCACGGCGGGAGACGGTGGCGCTCCGGTGCCCAGCTCTGGGCTTTCCTGCAGTGATCGCTTTCTTCTTTTCAAAGCCCAGAGTCCACAGCCAGAGCTGCAGCCACAGGAGCTCCCGGGGAACTCTGCCCCCTGCTGGTGGCACTGGGCTGTTCAGTTCCCTCCCCCCCCCCCCCCCCCAAATCTTCCCTAGCTACACCCGCTCCAGGTCCCAGGCCCTGAGGTTCTGGAACTCCCCCAGCAACCCCGGCGCTGCAAGCTGGCCACGCACCTGGACGGCATCCAGCAGCTGGCGGTGCAGGATGCGGTCCAGGGAGGCAATGCCGATGGCCACCACTCGGACCTTGGTAGAGGTGCTGGCCAGAGAGTGGTCGCGCACAGCCTGCCCCACGTGCCGCGCCAGGCCGACGCGGAGGGCACTGGTCAGGATCCAGGCACCTGCAGGGGTTGGGCAAGGGGCTCACTGTGCCTTGTGGCCCCAGGTGGCCCGGCTGGCCCACCAGGGCCGGAGAATAGGGGTTTCAGACACTGGGGAGTGCTCTGAGGCACTGGCGGGAACCCCAAGGCCCCTAGGGACTTCTGCCGGGGAGTGGGCTGCCCACGGGGTCCCTCTGGAGCAAAGCAGGCCACAGCTCTGCCTGTTGGCTGCTCTCTCCTAGGATCCAAATGACAGAATCCTCAGCCTGCCTCCGGAACACGTCTTTCTTTTGCACGTGGGGCTTGAACTCAGGACCTGGGTGCTGTCCCCGAGCTTTCTTGTTTATGGCTAATACACTACCACTTGAGCCATGGCTCTGCTTCTGCTTTTTGGTTGGTTAGTTCGAGATTAGAGTTTTATGGACTTTCCTGTCCTGGTGGACCTCTAACTGTGATTCTCAGATCTCAGCCCCCTGAGTAGATAGGAATATAGGTGTGAGCCACCCATTTTTGGCCAGATCTTTCTTCCCTCACTTCTTTCCTCCTTCCTTCCCTTCCCTCCTTCCTTCCCACCCTCCTCCCCCTCCTTCCCTCCCTCCCTTCTTCCTTCCTTCCTTCCTCCCTCCCTCCCTTCCTCCCTCCCTCCCTCCCTACCTCCCTCCCTTCCTCACTTCCTTCCCTCCTTGTTTTTTAGTGTTGGGGACTGAACCCAGAGCCTCGAGCATGCTAGGCAAGAACTCTACCACTTTGGCCACCCACCCACCCTTTTAACTTCAGTTCTGTTTTTGAGATGGAGTCTCTAATTTCTAGCTCAGGCCACCTGGGGTGTCAAACTCCCAATCCTTCTGCCTCCATCTCCTGAGTAGCTGGGATTACGGGCCCGTGCCACCATATCTGGCTTCTACTTTACCACCATCCTTTCTGCAGTGAAGGATCCAGAAACCCCTAAATGGTCCCTCTGGGTTTTCTACAGGCAGAGCCAGCTTCAAAATGAAGCCCAGGAACTTGGTCTTGGAACCCGACAACCAGCTAGCCAGATGGCTTCCCAAAGAAGGTGCGGGGCCATGGGACCCTCAGTCCCGAGCACCCCGTGCCCTGGTGCTGGGCATGGTAGCGCTGCCTCTTCCTGAGGCCCGTGGGCCTCACATGCAGAGGGCAGCCATCCACCTCGCCTGAACCCCACCCCCACCAGCTGGTGCCCGAAGCCCTGGCACCTGGGGCGCGGGGAGGGGGAGTCCCACCTGTGCTCTGAGCCGCCTTCACCAGCCCCTTCCTCAGGATGTCCCGCAGCCAGGACTTCAGGGCGAACGGCCGCTCCTCGCCCACCAGGGACACCACCAGGTTGGGGGCTGGCAGGTGCCACTCGGTGAGCAGCAGGTCGAAGAGCACAGAGGAGGCCACGCTGCTCGGCACCTTCACAAACTGCACGCAGGGGCCAGCGGGCTCAGGGCGGGGACATGGCCCGGCCTGGGACACGGGGTGGGGTGGGGCGCCGTGGGAGGACACGGGGTGGGGTGGGGCGCCGTGGGAGGACACGGAGGGGGCCCTGGGCACCGTGGGAGGACACGGAGGGGGCCCTGGGCGCCGTGGGAGGACACGGGGTGGGCCCTGGGCGCCGTGGGGGGACACGGAGGGGGCCCTGGGCGCCGTGGGAGGACACGGAGGGGGCCCTGGGCGCCGTGGGAGGACACTGGGTGGGCCCTGGGCGCCGTGGGAGGACACGGGGTGGGGTGGGGCGCCGTGGGAGGACACGGAGGGGGCCCTCGGCGCCGTGGGAGGACACGGAGGGGGCCCTGGGCGCCGTGGGAGGACACGGGGTGGGGTGGGGTGCCGTGGGAGGACACGGGGTGGGGTGGGGTGCCGTGGGAGGACACGGGGTGGGCCCTGGGCGCCGTGGGAGGACACGGGGTGGGCCCTGGGCGCCGTGGGAGGACACGGGGTGGGGTGGGGTGCCGTGGGAGGACACGGGGTGGGCCCTGGGCGCCGTGGGAGGACACGGGGTGGGCCCTGGGCGCCGTGGGAGGACACGGAGGGGGCCCTGGGCGCCGTGGGAGGATATGGGGTGGGCCCTGGGCGCCGTGGGAGGACACGGGGTGGGGCGCCGTGGGAGGACACGGGGTGGGGTGGGGCGCCGTGGGGGGACACGGAGGGGGCCCTGGGCGCCGTGGTAGGACACGGAGGGGGCCCTGGGCGCCGTGGGAGGACACGGAGGGGGCCCTGGGCGCCGTGGGAGGACACGGGGTGGGCCCTGGGCGCCGTGGGGGGACACGGAGGGGGCCCTGGGCGCCGTGGGAGGACACGGAGGGGGCCCTGGGCGCCGTGGGAGGACACGGGGTGGGCCCTGGGCGCCGTGGGGGGACACGGAGGGGGCCCTGGGCACCGTGGGAGGACACGGAGGGGGCCCTGGGCGCCGTGGGAGGACACGGGGTGGGCCCTGGGCGCCGTGGGGGGACACGGAGGGGGCCCTGGGCGCCGTGGGAGGACACGGAGGGGGCCCTGGGCGCCGTGGGAGGACACTGGGTGGGCCCTGGGCGCCGTGGGAGGACACGGGGTGGGGTGGGGCGCCGTGGGAGGACACGGAGGGGGCCCTCGGCGCCGTGGGAGGACACGGAGGGGGCCCTGGGCGCCGTGGGGGGACACGGGGTGGGGTGGGGCGCCGTGGGAGGACACGGAGGGGGCCCTGGGCGCCGTGGGAGGACACGGAGGGGGCCCTGGGTGCCGTGGGAGGACACGGAGGGGGCCCTGGGCGCCGTGGGGGGACACGGGGTGGGGTGGGGCGCCGTGGGAGGACACGGAGGGGGCCCTGGGCGCCGTGGGAGGACACGGAGGGGGCCCTGGGTGCCGTGGGAGGACACGGAGGGGGCCCTGGGCGCCGTGGGGGGACACGGGGTGGGGTGGGGCGCCGTGGGAGGACACGGAGGGGGCCCTGGGCGCCGTGGGAGGACACTGGGTGGGCCCTGGGCGCCGTGGGAGGACACGGGGTGGGGTGGGGCGCCGTGGGAGGACACGGAGGGGGCCCTCGGCGCCGTGGGAGGACACGGAGGGGGCCCTGGGCGCCGTGGGGGGACACGGGGTGGGGTGGGGCGCCGTGGGAGGACACGGAGGGGGCCCTGGGCGCCGTGGGAGGACACGGAGGGGGCCCTGGGTGCCGTGGGAGGACACGGAGGGGGCCCTGGGCGCCGTGGGAGGACACGGAGGGGGCCCTGGGCGCCGTGGGAGGACACGGAGGGGGCCCTGGGTGCCGTGGGAGGACACGGAGGGGGCCCTGGGCGCCGTGGGGGGACACGGGGTGGGGCGCCGTGGGAGGACACGGAGGGGGCCCTGGGCCCTGGACCGCGCACGGTGGGTGCTGCCTGCAGTTTGGGGGCTGGGCAGAGGCTGACCCCGCACCTTCCAGGCCGCCCCTCACCCTGGAGGTCCAGGAGGGGGGCCTGGGGCGGGCTGTCCTACCTTGCCCCGCTTCTTTCCGGACCCGCCGAAGTCCACCTCGCCGCGGCTCAGGCCCGGCCCCCACCGGCCGGCAGCCGGACGGGAGCCCTGGGGCGTCTGCATGGTGCGCTCCCTGTGGGACGCAGACGGGCGCGGTAGCCCGCGCACGGCAGGAGTGGGGGCAGCACCAGGCCCTCTCGGGCCTTCCCTGCAGCTGGCTCCTCCGGGTCCGCTTCAGCTAGCCCTCAGTCAGGCCCCGCCCAGGCGGGGGCGTGGCACGCCCGGCCCCGCCCAGCGGGGGCGGGGCAGGTCAGACCCCACCCAGGTAAAGGGCGGGGCGATCAGGCCCCTCCCAGGGAAGGGCGGGGCAACCAGGCACACCAGGCCCCGCCCAGGCGAGGGCGGGGCAACCAGGCACACCAGGCCCCGCCCAGGCGAGGGCGGGGCAATCAGGCACACTAGGCCCCGCCCAGGCGAGGGCGGGGCGATCAGGCCTCTCCCAGGCAAGAGGGGGCAATCAGGCAACTAGGCCCAGCCCAGGCGAGGGCGGGGCGATCAGGCCCCTCCCAGGCAAGAGGGGGCAATCAGGCACACAAGGCCCCGCCCAGGCGAGGGCGGGGCAATCAGGCACACCAGGCCCCGCCCAGGCGAGGGCGGGGCGATCGGGCCTGGAGCCGGGCCAGCTAGAGAGCCCTCTTAGGTGGTACTAGAGATTGGATTGCAGGCAGGTGCTCAACTTCTAGACTCACACTCCTAGGCCCCTTTGTGTTTTGTTATTTTAAAATTTTTTGTGCTAGTCCTGGGTCTTGAACTCAGGGCCTGGGCGCTGTCCCTGAGCTGCTTTTGCTCAAGCCTAGCCCTCTACCACCTGAGCCACAGTGCTACTTCTAGCTGAGTAGTTTGTTGGAGATAAGAGTCTCTGTGGAATTTCCTGCCTTGGCTGGCTTCGAACCCTGATCCCCGGATCTCAGTCTTCTGAGAAACTAGGATTACAGGAGTGAGCCACAAGCACCTATCTGTGTGTTTTGTTTTTGAAACAGGGTCTTACTAACTTTGCTCAGGCTGTCTTTGAACTAGATATCTTCCTTCCTCCAGGCATGTATCCCCACACCCAGATCATGGGAGGCCCTTGTGAAACCTGTGCTTGTGGGGGCAGGGATGGAGGGGTGGACAGGAAGCTACTGTCCATAGGAGGGGCATCTGGTGCCTCCTGGGGCAGGCCTGAGGGCAGAGGCTGAGGCCACAGCCTCCCCTCTGGGTTCCTGAGGCCTCTTAAAGAATTCACTACATTGCCAGGCGCTGGAGGCTCACGCCTATCATCCTAGCTACTCAGGAGGCTGAGATCTGAGGATCGTGGTTCAAAGCCAGCCTGGGCAGGAAAGTCCACAAGACCCTTATCTCTAATTAACTACCTGAAAATTGGAAGTGGCGCTGTGGCTCAAGTGGTAGAGCACTTGCCTTGAGCTGAAGAGCTCAGGGACAGCGCCCAGGCCCAGAGTTCAACTCACAGCCAACAACAATAACAACAAAAAGAGGAATGTGCTCCATGGCTGAACACCTCCCCCCACCCCATGCATTTAACTTGTCTCCCCCTACACCCCTGTACCTTTGGACGTGACCTTGGAAGCAGGGTCTGTACGATGTAGTGAGGTCACGCAGAGTGGGGCTAGCTCCCCATCCGTGCCGGGGTCGCTGTGGACGATGTGGAGACCCGCTCGGAAGGTAGACAATGTGAGGAGCAGCAGGAAGTCGGCCCTGTGAAGATGGAGGCCCAGGATGGAGGGACCGGCCAAAAGCCAGGAACACCTGGAGCCCCAGAGGTTGGAAGAGACAGGAAGGAGCCTTGGGAGCCTCCAGAGGGAGCGCTGGCCTCCTGGCACCCTGACTTGGGGCAGGCTGCAATGCAAGCTCCTGCCTGTGAGCCACCCCTCCGCAGCTTCGTCAGGAGCTCAGCCCCTGCCCAGACCTGGCTCGGTGTCCACCTGGTGGAGCGGTGGCTGGTCCCCTGCCCTGAGCTGCCTGGTCCCCTGTTCCCCGCCCAAGTGGATGCAAATCCTCCCCCTTCCCACTGCCCAGCAGGGCCTGTGGAGGGCAGCATTTGAATTTGTTTGATGGTTTGGGGATGGGACAAGCCCTGGCTGGAGGCCTTGTTGTGGTATTTGTGTCAGAGCCACAGACCCAGAGGCGTCACAGGAGAGGACCAGGGCCCATCCTGGGGACAGAAACCTACAATCCAGGTGCCAGCCGGGCCACGCCTGCTCCCAGGCTCCGGGTCTCCTTGGGTGGGAGATGGGGATGTGTTGTGTGCCCAGGCCCTGTGTGCCTTGCTCTCTGCTCCCCCCTAATCCTCCCCCCCTTCCCCCCTCCCCTCCGCTCCCCAGCCCAGGGCTGAGGGGATTGTGGGCAGGTGCCAAGCTCCAAGCAAATGAGGCCACCACAAGGACGGGCATGCAAACGAGCTGGGGATTTGCATGGGCAGGTGTTGGGTCCCACCCTGCATGTCCTGGAGGGACAGGGCAGCGAGGGGTCCCCGGGGTGCCAGCCGGAGCTGAGCCAGGCGGCCATGGCCCCTGGGTGTTCTGCTGGGACCAGTCAGAGGCCGTCACAGAGGCAGCCACACGTGGCCCCCTCGACGTGGGAAAGGCCTAGTGGAAGGCAGACCTGGGCTCTGGGGTCCAACCCAGTGTACTCCCCAACCTCCCCGGGCCAGCTCACCCTGAGATGTGGGGACGGGTAGAGTATAACAAGAAGGTGCAGAAGCTCCCCGAGGGTGACCATCACGAAATGGACCTTGGGCCTTTTTCCCAGGGGAAGGGCCTGGATCTCTGGGCAGGGTGTGGACGTGGGCAGGGCCTGGACAGAGCGGCCCCGGCCTCCCCCCCCCAGCCTTCCCACCAGCCCACCGAGCCCCTCCCACCTCTCCAGGCTCCTGGGCAGACGCTGCCACATGCCGGAGGTCCCTTCCCTCACCCACGGGCCCCCAGGAAGGAGGGGCTCTCTTTGTGATACAGACAAGGAGACAGGCACGGGACAGGGCTGTGGCTGGAATCATGCAGGCCTGCGCCGGGCAATGCTCCAGCACACCCCGAGGTGGGCGCTGTCTGCCCACTTCCCCCTGCACGCTTCTGGTGGCCCGTGCCCCGACCTGCCGCTTTCTCCCCGGCGTGCTGACAGTGGGGCGGACACAGGCTCTGCCCGGTGCCAGCTCCCTGCCCTGCCTCCTTCCTTCTTCCACCTCTCCTGGCACCTGGGCAGGTGTGAATGAATGCGGACCACTGCGGACTGGCCTTCCTTGGCTTGATGGGCCCATCCAGCCCAGCTGGGAGGCAGTGCCTGCAGCTGCCAGACTCTCCCAGGTGGCTGACCCTCCACTGGGGTCCACGCCCAGGGGTGGCCCAGAGCCTAGGCTGGATCCAGATTCGAGGTGACAAGAGCTTCTTTTTCACTTCTGAGCCTCCGTTTCCTCTGCGAGTGGGAATGGGAGGTGCCCAAGAGCGCTGGGCCACAGCTCAGTCCCAGGGAGGACCACCCAGTGGCACGCCCCTGTGGTGTCCACTCACCGTCCAGGTGGTCATCCCCGAGAGAGGCCCATCTGGGCGGTCAGCCCCCTGGGTGGTCAGTCCCCCCTGTGAGACTGTTGAGGTATCTGGGTGCAGGATGTCTGTTCCAGGGAAGACTGTAGTCCCGGGCTGGCCTCCTCCTCCTCTCCCCGGCCTCCTTTCCAATGCCTGGCCTCGGATTCTCTGTAAAATACTATCAGCTGGGTGCTGGTGGTATGTAATCCTAGCTACGCAGTGGAGCTGAGATCTGAGGATCGAGCTTTGAAACCAGCCCAGGCAGGAAAGCCTGTGAGACTATAAAAGTCTCCAGTTAACCACCAAAAAGCCAGAAGTGGAGTTGTGGCTCAAATGGTAGAGCACTAATGTTGAGTGTAAAAGCTCAGAACAGTGCCCAGGCTCTGAGTTCAAGACCCAGTAACACACACACACACGCACACACACACACACACACACACACACACACACACACACACACACACACACACACACGTCCCACAGGTCTTCAGAGCCTGGATTCTGGGGTATTGTGGATGGCACAGGAGGGGAACCCGATGTACTTCGTGCACCCTTTCTCCAAGGGTCCTTTCCCGGCACCCCACATACCCTAGCCCAGGAATGGTAAGGCCCCGAGTTGAGGAACTGCTGTCAGCCACCAGAGGGCGGTCTAGGATCACAGGCAGAGGTGCCAGGCACGCGCAGCCTTGGAGGAGGCTACTTCATCCTGGGCAGGTGCCTGTGGTCACCTCCTCAGTCGCCTCCTATGGGTTGGACCAGGCTGGGCAGGTGCCCTAGTCCCTAGCATGGCCGAGCCCACATCCTGAGAGGAAAAGTGGCCATCTGAGGTCCCCTAGTAATTACAGAGATCCAGGCAGAGCACCCAGAAGCCCTTGGGGCCTCCAGTTATATGAGGAGTCCTCCCTTGGGGAACCATGGCAAAAGGGCCAGACCCCGGCCCTGAACAAGGTCATGCAGTACTGGGTCCCCGGAGGTCAGCCTGGACTCACGCCTGTGCCAGCTGGGGACCTGTCCAGGGTCTGATGCATGTGACCAGGCCGGATGTGCCCACGGTGGTGAAATGCGGCCTCACCGGCCCTTCCTCCATCCAGGCCCTGACTCCCCCTCTGGGAAAGGCCAGCTCTGCCTTCTGGACGCCCAGCAGGGCCCGGTGCTCCCCCCGCCCCCACCGCCTAGTCTCAACACCTGTGACAGTCCGGCCACCCTGCCAGCCCAGCTTTGTCCGTCCTCAGAGCCCCCTGGACCGGGAGCACATCCGTGCAGGACGCCTGCCCCAGGCTCTCGGCTAGATGACCGGGTCACCTGTCCACGCGCGCATGCAGCCTTGCTCTCTGAATGACTTTTGTTTCCCGTGTGCATGTCCGCGTCTGCTTCCCGCACTGACCTGTGGAACCGGGTATCCACTGCCGTCCCCGGGCCTAGAACCCAGGCCCATGCAGCACGCTCAGCGGGGCCTCAGTGAGCAAGGGAGCGAGGGGGTTGGCGATGGCCCTGCCTGAGCCACGGGATGGGGGGGGGGAGGGAGGTGTGGATGAGCAGCCCCGGCAG